AAGCCTGGGTGTGTTCTTGGTCACCTTCGTCAGCCACTGCTCCAGACCCAGTTGCCCTCCAGTCCCCTGCTTCCACTCCTGCCAAGTCCTGGCAATTCGTCAGATGTCCCTTGGGCTTACCCCTTCTCAGGAATCCCCCAGTCCTTGACGCCTTGCCCTGAGCTTTAGCACCTAGCGCTTTCCCTCCTCTGCCAGTCGCGGTCCCTTCAGGGTCTCTCTGAGCCTCTTCCTGCTTGCTGTAGGGTAGGCAGCTGATTGGATGTCAGAATTCCTGACTGCTTCTTTCCCCTGTCAGGTGCTTCCTGGGGCTTGGGCAGGTATCCCCAGAAGCCAAGCATTCCAGGCAGACAGAGAGGAGGCCAGGAGGCCCCTTGCCTGGCCACCTGGCTTTGTGCTCTTAGGCAATTACCCTCCTGAAGAGCAGACTGGATTTGAAAACTTGCCTCTAAGACCGGGGAAAGCAGTGTGTCGAGAGGTTGGCCCCTTTGGGATGAGTGGCTAGACTGTGGCTTCCATTCTTGCTCCAAAGAAGCCGACATTGATCTTCTGAGCTCCCCTGGGGAGCCCCATGTGACAGGAAACTTGATGACATCAGTCGGTGAGGACAAATCACCGTCTCTCAATTCCTCAAGTTTGGAAGTGGTTTCTAGTGAGTGTGTATGTTTGAAAGTGGCCAGTTGTTGAGAAAAAAATGGTCAGCTGTTTTAAGAGGTTTCAGAAGACATCTACTGAATCATTAATTACTACTGAGGAATAGAGGCAGCAATGCCAAATGGAAGCAAATGACCCGATAGCCAAATGCTTTTCGGGTACAAGGCCCTCAGTGATGAAACCCCGCCATCATGCATATCAAATGGCCTTCAAGAACACCTTGGATGGTTACTTTTTTTTCCCTCGTTTTTTTTTTTTTGTGGAATTTTCTTTCTTCCTTCCTTCCTTCCTTCATTTATTCATTTATTTATATATTATTTTTCAAGACGGGGTTTCTCTGAATTGTTTGGAGGCTGTCCTGGAACTCATTCTGTAGAACAGGCTGGCCTCGAACTCACAGAGATCCGCCTGCCTCTGCCCCCCAGTGCTGGGATTAAAGGCGTGCACCACCAACGCCCGGCTTGTGGTTTTATTTAAATGCGAATAAAACATGCACACCAGCCATCTACTCATTTTCTTCACTGCGAAGCCTGGCGTCGGGATTGGTGATTCTGATGGCCAGCTGTGCTGCTCTACGACGGCTTTTGGGTTCTTGGAGGAAGCGCTGTGAGCAATCTCAGCACAGTAGGATTCGTTGCACATCAGCAGCACGTCCAGCTCCTTGACAATGGGAACCAGAAACTTCCGGAAGCCGCTGGGCAGCATGTGCTTGGTTTTCTTGTTGCTCCGGTAACCAATGCTGGGCCTTGAATCTTCTCCAAACCCTGTCGTCAGTACCTCTGGGTTTTCGCCAGTTTCGCTTAATTTTGACGTATCGGTCTGACTGGTGCTGGATGAACTTCTTGGTCCTCTTTTTGACGATTTCGGACTTCACCAGAGGGTGAGGGCAACCGTGACGCCGCGAAAGAGATGGCAGCCACCTCGAAGGTAGCGCCTAGGGACAGCTACTTTTTTTTTTTTTTTTTTTTTTTTGGTTTTTCAAGACAGGGTTTCTCTGTATTGTTTTGGATGCTGTCCTGGAACTAGACCTATATGGTCTCGAATTCACAGAGATCCACCTGCCTCTGCCTCCCGAGTGCTGGGATTAAAGGCGTGCGCCACCAACACCCAGCTTGGACGTTTACATTTTTATTCAACAAAATGTGCCAAAAAGATCAAATTGCACTTGGTCAGTGGAACAGTAGAATTCTGCAAACAAATGTGAAGCTGTGTAACGGGCACGCCTGTCAGTGGATGAGCCTCGAGCTCTTAATGGACTTGTCAGTAATCACAGCATTCAGAGTGGGAGACACTCCGCCATTCAGCCGCACGACACAAGTTAGTTCTCTAATTGAGACGACTTACTAGATGCCACAGGCAAGTTTTATTTATTTTTTCATTATTGGCTAAAAATTGGTGGAAGTTGAAGACAAAGATGTAACTTGTATAATAAGGGACACAATGTAACATTTTTCTTCTCATTAAGAGAGCCGTTAAAGCGGGGCAGTGGTGGCCCAGGCAGTGGCAGGTGGATTTCTGTGAGTTCGAGGCCAGTCTGGTCTATAAGAACTAGTTCCAGGACAGCTAGGGCTACACAGAGAAACCCTGTCTCAAAAAACAAAAAAGAAAAAGAAAATAAGAGAGAGAGATTATTAAATTGTTTATTTGAGCTGTCATAACAGATACCACAGATGTGGTGAGTCCAAGGCCAGAAATCTAAGATCATAGTGGGATAGGGCTTATCCCTCCTAAAGCTCCCCATGATGTGTGGACAGTATCTCTTCCCCATGATCTTGAACTATGTGTTAACTTTTTCCTTTTAAAAGAGATTTATTCATCTTATTGTTTGTGTAAGAGTGCTTTGACTGCATATGTTCACATGCGCTGTGCGCTTGGAGTGCTCAAGTCGGTCAGCAGAGGCTCTGGAGTTAGAGAGTTGTGAGCCTCCGCACGGGTGCCAGGAATGGAACGGAACCCTCTGGAAGAGCAGAAAGTGCTTTTAGCTGTTAAGCTATGTCTCCAGGCCCTGACCTCCTCTTCCTTAAGTCTAACGGTTGCACTAGGTGTGACGCCACATACCTGTAATCTCCACACTGAGGAACCTGAACTGAAGTAGGGGGATTGGGAGCTTGAGTCTATCCTGAGCCACATAGCAAGTTCTAGACTACCTTAGTGACCTCAGTATACCTTAATTTCCATTTAATGATCCTGTCTCCAAACAGTTACCTTGTTTTTCTGAGACTGGGTTTTCTGTATTCCCTTAGTTGTGCTGGCACTCACTCTGTAGACCAGGCTGGCCTCAAACTCACAGAGATCCACCTGCCTCTGCCTCCTGAGTACTGGGATTAAAGGTGTGAGCCACTACCACCCAGGCAAATAGTCACATTTTAAAGCACGTTTAACCTAACCGTGAGAATGTCTACGTTTGAACTTTTTAGAGTAGTTTTCATAGGTAGTTCTTTTAAATCAGCATGGTTTGTTATGGACTATTGCTAAACAGCTTTTGCTGTTATGGTTAGCCTTCAGCTACTAAGTCATTTCTTCAGCCCCAGAAAGACACCTTTAAAGATGTATTTTTATTGTTTTTATTTGTATGTGTGTGTAAATGAATGTTACCTGTGTGCCGGGTACCTGAAGAAACCAGAAGACCGCGCCAGATCCGCTGAATCTGGGTTACATGTGGCTGTGGGCTGCCTGATCCGTGTTCGTCCTAGGAATTGAACTCAGATCCTCTGGAACAAAAGTAAGCACCCTAAACTGCTAAGCCATCCCTCTCGCCTTAAAAGGATCTTCAAGACTTGGACATAGAAAGATGACATGTTGGCATAGGCCTGCAGTCTCAGCACGTGACAGGTGGGGGCAGGAAAACCAGAAGTTCAAGGTCATACACAATTACTTTGGGAGTTCCAGGCCAGCCTGAACTACATGGGCCTGGGTTCTAAAGACAAAGCAGACAACTAATCACAGAGGGGCTTGAGAGCCGGCTCAGAAGTTGAGAGCACGGGCTGTTCTTCCAGAGGAACAAGTTTTGATTCCCAGCACCACATGAGGGCTCACCACCCTCTGTAGCTCCAGTCCCGCCCAGGGGGTCCGATGCCCTCATTCGACCCCTGTGAGTACCAGGTGTGCGTGTGGCATGCAGGCGGGGAACTAATGTATATATCAAACACAATTAAAACAATTTAGAATTGAGCATTCCTAAGTTCTTGAAAGAAATAAAAGGAAAGTGCCCCTGGGAATGTGGTAAGAATCCGAGAGCAGGTGTGGGCTGGGCATAAAGAGCACCTTGCCCATGTCAGGGATTGCAGTGTAGCTATGGGCATCACTCCAGCCAGCGTCTCAGCACCAAGAGCCTCGTTGTTTATAAGGAAAGACTGCCACACAACATGCAAATTCCAAGAAGGCCCACAGGAACATGCGGGATGTTTTCAGACTGCACAGAATAGGAGCAAAGCCTAAAGAATAGAGAAGCAGGGTCCTAGGCAAGGGCAGCATGTGAGCTGAAGAGAGGGAGCAGTTCTGGATACTGCCCCCACAGGAAAGCAGACTGCTAATCAACTTGGCTTTACTCGCAAGCCTTGTCAAGGCAGAGGTCATACCTGGTAATAATCCTCCAAATAATTCAAACAGACCCTGGAAGGTGATCTTCAGAGTCACTAAACTGAGGGTGGCATTGCATATACAATCACTTACTAAAATTCTGTATCTATGTGTGGTCCTCGACTCTCTCTGGGACCTACTTTACCTGACTTCTGCAGCTTTGGAGAGCTCAGTTCTCTTCCCAGAAACTCTCGGGTGTCTGTAGGGTTATTGTGTCTTGGCTGGGGCTCTGGAGAGCAAGACAAGCATCTTGTCTACAGTAAGCAGGTACTCTGCCAGTGAGCTACACTCCCAGCCCTGGGAACTCCTTTTTTGTCCTCCCTCCCTCCTTCCTTCCCTCCCTCCCTCCCTCCCTCCCTCCCTCCCTCCCTCCCTCCCTCTCTCTCTCTCTCTGTTGCTTTGTTTTTGTTTTGAGGCTTGTTCAAGGTCAAGCTGTGTTCAAACCCATGATCTCCCTGCCTCAGCCTCCGAGTGCTGAGATTACAGGTAGAGGTCTCCTTGTCTAGTTTAAAGTCAGTTTTGAACACAAGCTATTAACTAATTTCTGCCTTCAAATAGTTTCTATAGCAACTCTAATTTCTCTTAGCTAGAAGGATTCCTTGGCCCGATTTTTTGTGGGGGGTTCTTCTATTAAAATAAGAGGGGAAAACTACAAACATGTTAAAAAGTTGTTCCATCATTGCAGACATTTTGGGATCACTTCCAGGACACATGTGACTTGGACACATGACCGCCTCTGATTCAAGTGCTCTTATTATGCCCCTTTGACAGTGAAAACAAAGGAAACTGGAATGTCAAGAAATCAAAGTTGGTACTGGGAGTTGAAGGCAGCAGCTGAAGCCTGGAGCCTGGATTCACTCTTTTTGGAAGACATGGTCAGTTTGTGAATGCTGATGTCCAAGGCTGGGAGACATTCTGTCAAGGGATATCAGAATTACAAGACTTGCTTTGCTGAGCGGTAACAGATGCACTCACCCCCTCCTTTTCAGACACAGCGTGCTGCCTGATGACTCTCCCAGAGCACCGCATGCCTGTCTGTCAGAGCCTTCAGAAGCTACTGGGCACATGGAGCAGAGGTGGGTTCCTAGAACGCATTGTCCAAACCTGGATTTTGTCTCAGAATCTTGGATTTCCTAGAGCAGCATGTAGCCAGTGACACCCTTTCAGTGGCAGACAAGAGCTCGCCGGGCGAGCATGCAGCTTGTAGTTGGTGCTTGCACGTTTCCAGCCAGGCTCTGGAACCTGGCATAGCATTTCTTTTCAAGTCAGAGTAGTAATCACTGGCCTCCCCATCTCCCACCCTGTGCCCGGCCAACGAGAAGGAATGTACCTCAGCCCAGATCTCCCACAGCCAGCATCTCTGGGTAGAACATGAATAGCTACTTCTGTGTGGGGACTGGAATGCTCGCAGTGGTGGCTGGAAGGGAGCAATTGGTAGGTTGGCAAGTCTGCTCGGTTACTCTTCTGTGGTGTCTATGGCCTTGAGCAGAGGACGGTGGATTGTGAGCGCCACAGTGGATACGGCAAGTAAGTTAAAGTCCCGAGAGAAACTTACTCCTTCCTCTACAAGCTCTCACCCAGGGGTTCTCCCTTTGGGGGAGGTCACATATCAGATATTTACACTGCGGTTCATAACAGTAGCAGCATTACAGTTATGAAGTGGCAAAGAAATAATTTTATGGTTGGGAGGCAGCACAACATAAGGAACTGTGTTAGGAAGGTTGAGAACCACTGTATCTAGAGTATAACAGGAATTCCCATTTCCTTCATTTTTCCCAACCCTGTGGTGTCATTATAAGGAGCCAAGAGCCTCCAGAAACTGCCTCTGTGGACAGGGGATTCAGGTACCGAGTCCTGGTGGGCCAGAGCAGTGTGGCAGGACCCCTCTATCCTCTGGCTGCTTTGCTATGTGCATGGTTATACGGAATTGCCTGGCAGCTCAAGGAATTAAAAGGTGGGCATCCAAATGGGGGATCACAAGAGTACCTCTGGGGACCAGAGTCTGTGTGTGCATGCGTGCGTGCGTGCGTGCGTGCGTGCGTGCGTGCGTGTGTGTGTGTGTGTGTGTGTGTGTGTGTGTGTGTAGGACACCTAGCAACCTAGCCGGAGCTAGAGGAGAGGCCCTCTGCTCTTCACACAGCTTACCTAAGGCTCAGGAACACATCCAGACTGAGAGACACCCATGGAGAAAGTGTCCTCACAGTACAGCAAAAGCTTCAAAAGAGATGGGTACAGAGACCACCAGCTCAGTAGGTGGACATCACCCATGGACCAAACCAAAGAGAATGATGGCCAGCTGCACAAAAGGTCAACATACTTAGGAGGCCTTAACAGGACACAGTAGGTCATGAGAATATACAAGATAAACAACAACAAGTGTCTCTACAGTCTATGTGCTGGAATGAGTGGGGGGGGGTATGGAGAGAGAAGACAATGGACAAATGGCAGTGAGGATAGCCCAGTTATTAGAATTAGTAGGACAAAGTCCAAAATAGCAGGCTGCTGTTACTGCTCAATGCTACAAAAAAAGTCAGCCATCACCACACAAGTTATTATATTTATAGGATTATATCAATTTATCTTACTTATAGAACACACGCGCACGCACGCACGTGTGCACACACACACACACCTCCAATCTGAGATGCATACAATAACTTCAGAGAGACAAACAAAGCTTCAAAGGTCAGTGAAACAGCATCAGGAGAGCTAAGATCACTGCATTACCTTCTGAAAGGGGGAAACACAGACCTACAGAAAAGCAGTTTGAAATAGTAATGCTGAAAATGTCCTCGATTTGATGAAATCTATAAATTCTTGGTATGAGGGAGTTCAGTACTCCAGACAGGATCACATCAGAGGAAACTACTGCAGGTAGCCTGTGGATGTTTCTGCAGAACTGGAAGCAGCCAAGGTCACTGCAGACACCCACACTGCTGAGGGAAGTGACCAGAGAGCAGTCCCCACCCCCACCTGGCCTGCTCTCGCCTACATTCTGAGACACTCCTAGTCACCTCAGTCAACACAGGCCAGACTTCAGGTTCTCTGATCCCCTTGTTTAATTAGAGAATTTAAGTTTGGTGAATGAAACTTCAAACGCCTCAGATAAAAATAGGAGCGCTCTCTCTCTCTCTCTCTCTCTCTCTCTCTCTCTCTCTCTCTCTCTCTCTCTCTCTCTCTCTCTCTCTCTGTGTAGAGATGGCTCCTGTTCCAGGTGATCTGATATCCTCTTCTGATCTCCACAGGGACCAGGCACACAGGTGGCAAATAGACATACATGAAATGCAAAACATTCATACAATGAAAGCAAATAAAGATATACAATTAAAAATGATAATAAATACAATTAAAATGAAACAAGAGCTTTGTTTTTTTGTCAGATTTATTTCACCCTCTGTCAGTGAGTGTTTTGCCTACATGCATATATGTGTGCTACTTGTGAGCCTGGTGCCCTTGGAAGTCAGAAGGAGGTTTGAACCCATTTGAACTGGAGCTGGGAATGGTTATCAGTCACCGAATGCTGAACCAATCCAGGTCCTCCGAAAGAACAACCACGTGTTCTCAACCTCTGAATTGCCTCTCAAGCCCCTGCTGTGTTGTCCTTGTAGCTTTCTTGCTCTGCCCTGCACCTCTTTGGGACTCTGACAGCAGGAAAGCCATGACCAGAGGAAGATCTTTGAAACATGATTAATAAAGGACCCAGACACAGATATTGAGGTTCAGGGTTCAAGCTGAAGATCAGAGAAGCAAAGCAGCTAAGCCAGCAGATCTTTCCTCTACCCAGCTGAAATGGCAATCCTGTCTCCATGAATCCTCAGAGGCAAAAGCTCTCAGGTCCTGTCTCTGCCCACCTTCTATTCCTCTCTCCGCCCAGCCATATCCTCCCGTCTCCACCTCCCTTTTACTGGGATTAAAAGCATGTGATCCCAGGTGCTGAGATCACCTTTGTGTGAGCTTCTTCTTTTAGGACTGGTTCAATTTCACGTAGTCAGAATGGCCTTGAACTAACAGAGATGCATCTACAAATTAATCCTGAGTATGTACCACCACTACCTCATTTTCCATAGCTAATTAGTGTGGCTGGCTTTGCATCCTGAAGCCTCAGGCAAGCTTTATTAAATCACAAATAATATTGTCACCAAAGACCTTGCACCTGAATCTTCCAAATTTGGAGTCAAAATAAACCGTGTCGTCCATAAAACAAAAACAAGCTTCAAATCATTCAAGATAATGGGAATTCAGGTCATATATAAACATATCCTGGCAAATTACCTGCCAGAGCAGTTGCTTAGCAAGTCCCTACTGGGGTGGGGAGGTGACCCAGAAGACTGCGCTACACACAGGGGATCACAACGAGTTAATGGTTGCAGCCCAGCACACAATGAGGGACAGAGAAATATAGGGGACAGTAACGCAGCCACTGTCACTAAAACAGACTTTAGCTGAGGGAAAATGAGCACCTACAAAATTCATTTTACTGTCAGAAATTCATTTATTATCAAAAGACATGTATGCACTAAAAACTGCGACGTAATAAACAGCTGGGAGGTTTCAGGGGTCATGGAGAGGGGTTCCAAACACCATGCTAAATACAGAAGAAAATCAATATGCTTTGTGTTCAAAGCGCCCGACATTCAAATGTTGAAGATCTTTCCCAAGCGGTGTTGCTTGCACCCAGTGCTTAGGAGACCAACAAAGGAAGAGCATGAGTGGCTTTTGGAGCAGTGTGGACACAATGCTGAGTAATGACGACACAGTCGGCAATGCGGTGAGAGCCTACGTGAGGAGAGCACGCTTTCCAGGTCCAAAACAACATCAAAAATAGGATACGAGAAACAACATGAGAAATTTGTAGAAAAACCACCAAAGGGGAGGACATACCTGGTTAAAAAAAATAGGCAAAAACAAACCAGGTAGCATGGAAGAAATGAGCATGAACAAAAATTGAACCCGGATGAATATGAGTTCAAAAATATAGAGATGATAACTATCCAACTGAGAAAAGTTGCAACCGCTGTAGTACACTTCAACCATAAAAGAAAACCATCAGCGTTTAGACAGGGAGAGAAACAATAATCCAGTCTCAGGGTCCAGAGTGGCTCTCTGCAGCAGCTGCAGGTAGGTGAGGTTCTCGTGCGTGTTGGGGTCGAAGAAGCCCTTGGTGTCGTCCCCAGGGTCAGCCAGGATGCCGTTCATCTCCTCGTCGAAGTAGCCGCGCTGGTAGGCCACGTCCACGGGCACGCGGTGGCTGTGCGTGGGGTCAATGACCCCACCCGTGGCGATCTGGGCCTCCAGCAGCCGGATGCCGTGGTCCTTGACGATGAGGTCCCTCTGCATGGCCTGGAAGAGGGAGATCTGCTCCCCGGTGTAGGGGTCCGTGTAGCCCGTGACAGCGCGCTCGGCAGACAGCAGCTTCTCCTGGACCTCGCCCCCCACCACGCCCGCCGCCACGGCCTCCTCCACCGACAGCCTGCGGTTGTGCACCGGGTCGATGATGAAGCCGGTGGCCGCCTGCGCCTCCAGCAGCACCAGGGCCGTGCCGGGCCTCAGCACGCCCTTCCACATGGCCTGATAGATGCTCATCTTCTCCTGCCGCCCAGGCTCCCCCTGCACGGGCACCAGGACGCCCGCGATGCAGCTGGTGCCCTCGAGGTAGCGCTTGACGGAGTCCATCTCCGTCACCTCCTGCAGGGTCTTGGTCCCTTGTGCCAGCTCCCGCAGGGTCTCGGGGTCTATGATGCCGGATGTGTGCAGCTCGGATGCAGTTACCTGGCGCCTCAGCCCAGGGAAGGACACCTTGCTCAGCCTCTCTTCTGTCTCCTCCACCACCTGGGCGAGGACGCTGATGAGCTCCTGCAGGCCCAGGGTGCCAGCCAAGTGCTGGGCGAGCAGCTCCTCTCGGCGGGTCTCACTGAGGTACGAGGAGAACAGGACTTGCCACACGGAAACCGGCTGGCCGCCGAACTGCCCACGCTGGACCCGCATGGTGGCGGCGCGCAGGGCCTGCTCCTGAGTCTGCCTGGCAGTTGCTGCAGCGTCCCCGACCTTGCCCTGTTCGGCGACCGACCCCGAGCTCCCGCCCCCAGTCTCCTGCTGGTCCCGCGAGGAGGCAACGGCCTGCTTTGGCCTGGACTCCTGGGTCTCCTCGGCTTCCTCGATGATGGTGGTCAGCCTCCGGGTCAGCATGGGCAGCGTCAGCGCCCCAGAGCTGAACTGGGCCAGCAGCTCCTTCCTCGCGTCCCCGCTCACGTAGCCGGACGTCAGAACGTCCCACACCGGCACCTCTCGGCCCCGGAGACGGCCCACCTTCACCTCCATGGTGGCCTTCCCCAGGGCCCCTTGGGGGTCCGCACGCGGGCCCCCATCCCTGGTCCGGGCCAGCAGGGAGGTGAGGGTGGAGCTCACGTCCTGGACCGTCAGCCCACCGGCCTGGTACCGACGCAGCAGATCCTGGCGCAGGCTCTCGGGCACCTCGCGGTAGAAGAGCAGCTCCCAGACGGAGATGCTCTGGCCCCGGAAGTCGCCCGTGCCCGGCGTCACTCGGGCATCTCGGAGGGCTCGTCTCAGCTCCTCGCTCAGCTGGTGCACGCTGGAGCCCTTTCCCGCCAGCTGCAGCATGTAGAAGCCGGTCTCTGGGTCGCGCACACAGCGACGAAGCAGCTGCAGGTAGGTGAGGTTCTCGTGCGTGTTGGGGTCGAAGAAGCCCTTGGTGTCGTCCCCAGGGTCAGCCAGGATGCCGTTCATCTCCTCGTCGAAGTAGCCGCGCTGGTAGGCCACGTCCACGGGCACGCGGTGGCTGTGCGTGGGGTCAATGACCCCACCCGTGGCGATCTGGGCCTCCAGCAGCCGGATGCCGTGGTCCTTGACGATGAGGTCCCTCTGCATGGCCTGGAAGAGGGAGATCTGCTCCCCGGTGTAGGGGTCCGTGTAGCCCGTGACAGCGCGCTCGGCAGACAGCAGCTTCTCCTGGACCTCGCCCCCCACCACGCCCGCCGCCACGGCCTCCTCCACCGACAGCCTGCGGTTGTGCACCGGGTCGATGATGAAGCCGGTGGCCGCCTGCGCCTCCAGCAGCACCAGGGCCGTGCCGGGCCTCAGCACGCCCTTCCACATGGCCTGATAGATGCTCATCTTCTCCTGCCGCCCAGGCTCCCCCTGCACGGGCACCAGGACTCCTCCGATGCATCCTGTTCCCTTAAGGTATCTTTTTACCTCTTCGTTTCTTTCAATCTGATCTACTGTGGTTTTTCCTTCTTCCAGGTCCTTTAGTGTCTGCCTTGTGATGATGTCTGAGCTGAGTAATTCCTCAGCTGTGATTTGTGTTCGTAACCCTCGGAACCACAATTTCCTGCTTTTTCCCTCTTCATCTGCAATCATTTGCAGAATATCTTGCACCACTCTCTGCAGTGCCCTGGCTGTGTCAGCCTTGTATATCCTAACCAGTTCCATCTTTTTCTCCTCTGATACGTACTCTGAGTTCAGCAGCTCCCACACTGAGCGCCTCTGCCCTCGGTACCTCCCCACAGTCACTTCTACCTGCTCGGCCTCCAGAGCCCTTTTGGTGGCCTCATCTACATACTCCATGTCCTGTTTGTCCTTGAACACTGGGAACAGAGCCCAACCGGACTTCTCTTCCCTCCGGCACCTGTCCTGCAGCTCCTGGTATGTGACCTTCTCCTGTGTGTTGGGATCCACAAACCTTTTCCTCATGTGCTTCTGGTCAGCAATGAGCACAACCGTGTCGTCACTGAGACAGCCACGCCTGCAGGCTGTTTCCAGGGGAACTCGGTGGTGGTGCCGTGGGTCAATGACCCCACCTGTGGCCACCTGTACCTCCAGCAACCTCAGAGCCTCCTCCTTCCCGACCAACTTCTTCTCCATGGCCTGGAACAGTGGGATGGTCTCCCCCGTGGCTGGGTCTTCGTAGCCCCGGGCTGCCTTCTCCGCATTCACAAGCCTTTCTCTCAGGTCCTTACCTACCAGGCCCGCTGCTACGGCCTCCTCCACACACAGTCTCTGCTGGGTGCGGGGGTCCATTAGGTACCCAGTGGCAGCCTGCGCCTCCAGCATCTGAGCTGCAAACCCTGCTGGGGTGAGCTCTTCCTTGCTGGCCTCATAGAAGCTCATCACCTCCTGGGTGAGTGGTACAGTCACCCCAGCAATGCAACTGCTGCCTTCCAGGTAGATGCCTACGTTCCCCAGCTGGCGGAGGTCCTGGAGCCCCCTCTCCCCACTGTGAAGCGCGTCCAGGGCCTTCTTATCAAGGACCCCGGAGTTGAACAGTTCTGCGGCAGTCACGTCACCATGGATGCCTGCCACCTTGAAAGTTTGGTTTTGCTTCTCTGTTTCTTCCACGGTGGAGGTGATAACCTCCTGCAGCCTCTCTAGGCTTATGTTCTGGGCTCTGTACTCCCGCAAAAGCTTTCTTTTCCCTCGTTCTGTAAAGTACTGAGAAGACAGCAGGTCCCACACGGACACCGTCTGGCCTGCAAACTTCCCTACGTACATTTTCATAGTTCTGGATCTCAGAGCTTGCCTTGTGGTTTCATCAATATGCGAGTAGGTCTCTCCCTTCTTTACAATTTCCAACATGTACAGGCCAGTCTCGGGGTCCTCCACACAGCGCTCCAGCAGCTGCAGGTAGGTGAGGTTCTCGTGCGTGTTGGGGTCGAAGAAGCCTTTGGTGTCATCACTCGGGTCAGCCAAGATGCGATTCATCTCCTTGTCAAAGTAGCCACGCTGGTAGGCCACGTCCACGGGCACGCGGTGGCTGTGTACAGGGTCGATGATGCCACCCGTGGCGATCTGGGCCTCCAGCAGCCGGATGCCGTGGTCCCTGACAATGAGGTCCCTCTGCATGGCCTGGAAGAGGGAGATCTGCTCCCCGGTGTAGGGGTCCGTGTAGCCCGTGACAGCGCGCTCGGCTGATAACAGCTTCATGTAGGTTTCCTTGCCAAACATGCCTGCTTGGAAGGCTTGCTCTACAGTTAGCTTCCTGTTCTCTACGGGGTCGATGATGAAACCGGTGGCCGCCTGTGCCTCCAGCAACACCAGCGCCGTGCCTGGCCTCAGAATGTGCCTTCTCAAGGCTTCTGGGATACTCATCTTCTCTTTTGTACCCTGAATAAGGACCCCAGCGATGAAGTTGCCTCCTTCCAGGAACCTCCTCACACTGTCCATCTCTGTCACTTCCTGGACTGTCCTCTTCCCCTGATTGAGTTCATCCAGTGTCTGCTTGTTGATCAGCTGGGACCTAAACAAGTCCCCAGCTGAAACCTGCTTCCGGAGCCCTTTGAAGGTGGCCTGTGGGGGCTGCTTCTCTGCCGCCTCCACCAGGGTGGTGACCATACTGATGACCTGCCGCAGGGCTGCAGCCCGACCAGAACAACAAAGTGCCACCAGCTCGCGCCGCTTCTCGGCTCCAACATACTCGGAGTGCAGCAGGTCCCAGAGTGACACGCTGTGTCCTTGGTACCTCCCCATGCTGATGGGCACTTTCATAGCCCTCAGTGCCACCGCAGTATGGTCATCCACCTCAAGCACAGAGTTCTGGGGCAGTGGCAGCAGCCACAGGCCAGTGGCAGCATCCAGCACACAGAGCTCCTTGAGCTGCTGGTATGTCATCTTTTCACGGGAGTTTGGGTCAAAGAAGAGCTTGCTTTCTTCCTCAGTGGAAGTCAGCACCTGGCTTGTCTGCTCGTCCAGGAGGCCAAGCCTGCAGGCCGCTGCCTGGGGCAGGTGCACCCCATGGACAGGGTCCACAACACCGCCTGTGGCCAGCTGGACTTGGAGGAGAGGAAAGGCCTCACTCTTGGGTACAAGCCCTTTCTCCATGGCCTGCCATAGAGAAAGGGAGCCGCCTGAATAAGGGTCTGAGTATCCTGTGACCGCCCTCTCTGCCTGCCGAAGCTGTTCACTTAGCTCCCCGCCCACCAGGCCGGCCTTCACTGCACCCTCCACCGACAACCTCTGGTTGGTTAGGGGGTTGACAAGGAAGCCAGATGCCACCTGGGCTTCCAGCAGCTGCTGGCCCAGGCCTGTGGGTAGGAGGCCATCCCTTATAGCCTGGGCGATGCTCAGCTTGGTCCCTGAGGGCTGCAGAAGCACACCAGCCACGCAGCCTGTGCCCCAGAAGCAGGCCTCCACAGCAGGCTGTTTAGCTACCTCAGCAGGCGACTGTGTGCTCCATGCCAATGCTTCCAGCGTCTCGTGGGTAATAATACCAGCGTCTCGTAGCCACACAGCAGGGACCTCACCCCGTGGGCCCGGCACAGTGATGTGTGCCCGGGCCACGAGCTTAGCTGAGTGCACCCAGCTACGCACAGTGTCCTGGAGCTGTGACACAGAAGTCTTCCCAACTCTCAAGTCCTCAAGGAAGCCCCTGCGCTGCTCCTCAGTAAAGTGGCAAGAGGTGAGCAGATCCCAGAGGGACAAACCGTCCTCAGTACCAGCTGATGCTTGCAGGGTCTCCTGGATCTGCATATCTGTGGGGATAGCGGGAGCATCTTCTGTCAGGGGCAGAAGGTGAAGCCCAGAGGCTTTGTCCTGGAGACACTGCTCCAGAAGCTGGACGTAGCTGGTGTGTCCCCGGCCATCAGGTGTGGGGAAGGTCTTAGGAGAGCTGGACAAGGCCACCTCCATCTCACGATCAATGCAGCCACGCTGGACTGCCACAGGCATGGGGAGGTGGAGGTGGGTTGTGGGATCAATGACCCCTCCTGTGGACATCTGGGCCTCTAATAGGCGGGTTCCCTGCTCCATAGGGACAAGGCCCTTCTTCATGGCCCTGAACAGGGTCACTTTTTTTCCAGAAAAGGGGTCTCTGTAGCCAGTGATAGAATGCTCTGCTCGTTTTAGCTTGCCGTAGACTTCTGCTCCCACTACTCCCCTGCACACAGCCTCATCTACCGACAGGGTCTCCGTACTACAGGGGTCTGTGATGGCTCCGGTGGCTGCCTGGGCCTCCAGCAAGGCCAGGGCTACACCTGGGGACAGCAGCTTCTGCTTCATGGCCTGGTAGAGACTGATTCGCTGGTTGGAGGGCTGTAATAGCACACCACCCACAGTGCCTGAGCCCTGAAGGTACCTGCGAATCTCATCCATGTGAAGGAGGGAATCTGGGCGGACCGCCCCTGTCAGCACCTGGTCCAGGAGCTCCTGGCTGATGATGTGGGCCTCTAAGAGCTGGTAGGCAGTGACCTGGCCCTGTAGCGCAGGGAGTGTGATGTCTGCCCACTTCTTCATCTCTTCCTCCAGCAGCTGAGCGACCTGCTCCAGTGTGACCTTGCGCTGCCGATAACGCTGCAGTAGCTGCCTCCTCCAGTCCTCTCTGAAGTATTCTGAGTTAATTAGTGCCCATGCAGAAACTCTCTGCCCCCGGAACCGCCCATACCTTACAGACAGCAGGAGATTCTGAAAGGCCTGCCGAGTGGAGTAATCTACCAGCTGGGCTCGTGTACCACTAAGGGGCAGGAGGTGCAGGTCTGTCTCGGAGTCATGTACACAGCGCTCCAGAAGCTGCAGGTAGGTGAGGTTTTCATGTGTGTTGGGGTCAAAGAAACCCTTGGTGTCATCAGATGGGTCCAACAGAATAGAGTTCAACATCTGGTCAAAGTAGCCACGCTGGTAGGCCACGTCCACAGGCACACGGTGGCTGTGCACAGGGTCGATGATGCCACCCGTGGCGATCTGGGCCTCCAGCAGGCGGACGCCATGGTCCCTGACGATGAGGTCCTTCTGCATGGCTTGGAAGAGGGAGATCTGTTCCCCAGAGTAAGGGTCTCTGTAGCCTGTGACTGCACGCTCTGCAGACAGCAGCTTTGAATAGACATCAGGTCCAATGACACCAGCCCTCAGTGCCTCCTCCACAGAATATCTCTTGTTCTCTTTTGGGTCGATGATAAAGCCTGTGGCAGCCTGGGCCTCAAGCAAGATCAGGGCAGTACCGGGCCTGAGGAGCCCCTTGGTACGGGCCTCATAGATACTGAGGCGTTCCTGAGAGTCAGGCAGCAGTAGGCCTGCAATGCAGCCTGTGCCCTGCAGGTACCTCTGCACTGAGTCTAGACTGCCCACATCCTGGGCTGAGGTCTGTCCACGTTCCAGCCGCTCAAACAGGTCCTGGTTGATTATCTCAGCCTTCAGCAGTTCTCCTGGTGTCACGGTGTCCCTCAGCCCAGCAAAGGTGACTTTGGCAGTGGCTGCAGCCTGCTCAACAATGGCCTTCAACTCAGCTGCCACCTCCTCCACCGACAGGGCCCCTTTCTGATGCTGCTGGGCAAGGACTGCTCTCTGTTTAACGGGCACTGCCTCAGAAAAGAGCAGTTCCCAGAGGGTTACAGGCCGGCCCCGGAATCTCCCTACAGAGATGGAGGTCGTGGCCTCGCGAAAGGCCTGCCGAGTACAATGGTCAATAAATGTGGGTCCCTGGGGCTCGTTAGCATGGGGTCCTCCAGGGAGAGGCAGGAAAGCAAGCCCCGTCTCGGGGTCAGTGACGGAGTAGGCCAGCAGCTGCTCATAGCGAAGGCTGTCGTGTGTGGTGGGATCTGAAAAGCTCATTGCCTGAGAGAGATGTTGCTGTGTCTCCTCATCCAGGCAGCCGAAGCGCAGGGCAGCCTCCAGGGGCAGCCGGAATCTGTGGGCTGGGCATATAAGCCCACCTGTGGCCAGCTGAGCATCTAGGAGGCGCAGGGCCAGCGGCTGGCCCACAAGCTCCTTCTTCATCGCCTGGAAAAGGGGGATGTGGGAGCTGCTGAAGGGGTCATAATACCCAGTCACCGCCTGCTCTGCAACCAGGAGCTGCTCATGGAGTTCTGGGCCAACCAGACCTTCCCTGACTGCCTCCTCCACCCACAGCCGCTGGCCTGTGGCTGGGTTCACAAGGGTGCGGGTGGCAGCCTGAGCCTCTAAGAGTTGTAGTGCAGTGCCCTTAGAGAGCAAGTGTTCGACTGTAGCCTGGAAGAAGCTCTTCTTGTGGCCTCCAGGCAACAGGACAACCCCCGCCAGCCCTCCAACCCCCTCCAAATAGCGTTGCACCTCGGGGCGTGTGGCCACATCTGACACCGCCAGTGTGCCCTCCTGCAGGCCTCGAACTGTCTCCTCATCCAGTACTCCTGCCTCCAGCAGCATTGATGCGCTGGCTGCTCCACCCAGGGTATGGAAGGTGATCTTCAAGGGCAATAGGGGCAGGCCTGAGCTGGGGTCTTGCACACACCTGCCCAACAGCACGCAGTATGGCAGCTGTTCTAGTGTGTTGGGGTCAAAAAAGCCTGGGGCACCCATGCCGGACTCTGATTCCACCAGGCTGAGCCATGTCTCCTTGTCTAAAAGGCCCTGCTGACAAGCTACCTCTGGGGCCACTCGCACACCTTGGGTTGGGTCCACTGGGCCTCCAGTAGCTAATTGGGCCTCCAGCCATCTCATCCCCAGGGCCCTATCCACAACTTCCTTCCTGATGGCCTGGAAGAGGGCCAGCTTTCCATCCCCATAGGGGTCAGGAAAGCCTGTAACTGCATGCTCAGCAGCCAACAATTTCTCCTTTAGTTCCAGCCCCACCAGACCCTGCCTCAGGGCCTCAGATACAGGAAGCATCTGGCCTTGGGCAAGGTCCACAAGGCCCCCAGTGGCTGCCTGGGACTCAAGCAATGCCAGCCCAAGTCCAGTAGGCAGGAGGCCCTGCTTTATGGCAGCATAGAAGCTCTGGGTCTGCCCCGAGGCCTCCACATACACCCCAGCAATACTTCTGGCTGTGGTAGGTGGGGCAGCCTCTGCTTGGGGCTGGGAATGGGTGCTGGCTCCCAACTGGTGCTTCATGATTTTAGGGACAATGGACTGCTCAGTGCCATTGGCAACCACAGCATCACCAGGAGGGGGCTGGCCGTTCATCACGGCAGCTGGTAGCGCAGAATTTGCTCAAGATTCACGTGTGACCTGTAGGGGACAGAAAGACTCAGTCAGGGACTCTGAGTGGCTGGGTAGGGGGAAAGATATGATCATGGGGGTCAAACACAGGCCAATCTAAGCTGAGAGTCCTGAAACCACATCCGTAGGAAGACCACTGAGTAGCCAGAGGTTCATGGAAGCCAAGGGCCCTCCAAGGGCATGAGGAAATCTCATTGTTGGGGGAGAATGCTCTGACCTGCAGGTCCCTTCAAGAGGGATTAGGACAGGCTGCCCAAAGAACTCAGACAATGCAAGAGACAGTATACGGTCACTGTCTTGAGATCAGGCCATGCCCTGCGTTAAGTTATACCATATTGTATAAAGCAGTGTTTTTTCAGGCCATGCCTTGCCCTAGGAGACTCCATTTTACACTGTGTCTTTTGCCATTTTGAGGGAAGCAGATTGCAGGTCCCAGGTAGATCCACAAACAGGTCTATCTGTCAGGTACCAGCTTCTGCACAGATAGTAGAAAGGAAGGCACCTTGTAAAGTTCCCTGTATGCCTGCAGGTACACATGGGTGTATTAAAATCATACCAGGGAAACCAGGCCCAAGAATTTATCAGACACCCAATCTGAGAAGAGGGTATAATTCCCTCATGCGGGTCCCATAAAGTCGTGGACACCTAACACTGCGCGATGGCTTGGCCTTTCATCAACCAGTCACCTGATTCCTGGTGGGTGCATCAAGGACCAGCAGGCAGCGGATTCCCCAACTGTTGAAGCAGGGTTAGCTTGACTCTGTCCCCTACTTGACTCCATGCCCATCCATCTGTCTGTCCCTCTGGACCTGGACCCGGACCTGCCATTTCCTGATTCTGGAGCCTGCTTTGGCTGCTCCCCTCACAGACTCTACAGCTTTGTTCTCCAGCCCTGGCTGCAGCTCTCCCTCCTGGTGGCATCTGGCATCTTATCAATAGGACTCTCAGGGCTCTGAGGACGCTCTCTGGACCCAGCTGCAGCCTCTTTAACTTGTATTCATTCTCCACATGAATAAATAAATTACACATACATAAAATATATAAGGAGATTCACTGTGTGCTGTGCGACAGGTGATAAAAGTTGCTTTAGTGATTAAGATTGGAAAATCTTGATTGCCTCCACCTTGGACAGATTACTGGAGTCAGTGGGATTATACGGCAAATTCTTTGCATTTTGAAACTGCTGAACCTTGTGAATTTGTGGTCATTCAGTAAATTCTGACGTTGTAGAAAGGCACAAACGTGTTTGTCCACATTTCTGGCATAGCATACTCATAATATACAGGGATCTGAGGCCAGCAAGAAGCTGCTCTTCTCAGGACTCCCTGCAGATCATCCGACCTCTACTCCAAGTCTCCAGGGTTCTAGTCAATGGATCCTGGGGCCTTCCAGAGCACCCCTTTCCCCCAGCCCTGCCTCAGACTCAGAAGATGTGTGTCGGGTCTTCATGTCTGCATGGGTCCTGCTTGGTTTCAGGCCTCTAAGCTTCCGCCAAGGCTTGGAGCTTTTGAGCTGGGCTGAGTTGATTACCCAGAAAGGCAACTCAAAGTCCTAACCTGCAGAACATGACTGTAACCTTATTTGGAAGCAGGACCTCTGTGAATATAACTAAGATGAGATCATCCTGGAGCATTGCTGGCTCCAATCCAGTACACCTGGCATCTCTAAAAGATGGCAGACTTGCCTAGCGAGAAGACAACCACCCTGTAAACTGAGACTGCACACTGTGTCCTCTCTTAGTCCACAGCTCAGCATTGCCAGAACATTCTCTCTGCTCAGAAGTTCAGCCAGACGGGTCCTCGCAAGAACTTTGGGAGGGGCCTGCCTACCCCTCCCTGACATACATTTGCATTGTGGAACTTAACAGAGTTTGAATCTGGTCCTTCTGTAACAGGATTTTACTCTGTCTTTATGTGTCCAGTGAATCAAGAAATCCTTGGCTTGTCCTCAGATCTCTTCACCTGCAGCTTGAGCCAGCCAGCCCTGAAGTCATAGACTGTCCTGCCTTTCTGGATACAGATCCTTACACATAACATTCCTCCCTTACACTCTGTTCTTTTTCTTTTTCTTTCCTTTCTTTAGTTTTGCAAGACAGGGTTTCTCTGTGTAACTGCTGTGGCTGTCCTGGAACTCGCTTTGTAGACCAGGCTGGTCTTTAACTCACAGAGATCCACTTGCTTCTGCCTCCCGAGTGCTGGGATTAAAGGCGTGCGCCACCGACGCCCGGCTTACACTCTGTTCTTAAAAGTGCTTCGATGGGTACAGCTGCATGCTGGCTGTCCACTGTCCACCTCCCACCCATCTAAGTCCTCATGACTTTGCCATGGCTCCTCAAAGCTCATCCTGTCACTTCTCAGCCAGATTGCCTGCTCCCGTGGCCTAGGCTTCTGCACAATGTATATGGAAGCTGTGCATGCTACCATCAGTTATTTCAAGGATCCTCAGCAATGCCTACACCACATGTGGAATGGGAAGCAGGAACAGTCAGGTTGGCTGGTTGTGCAGCATGGTCAAGCATGGTCAAGGCAGGCGCATAGCCTGTCCTGTGGATGATAAGCCAGGCTTTGATATCACATGATTTGTTAGAAAAGACACTGACCAACTTAGGGAGGGTTATGGACAGATGGTCCCACTAACCCTTTCAAGAATTGTCCTACTTGTGGGCCTGTGACAGGATCAGTCCCTTGGCATGATTTGAGGGAGACTCTGCAGGCTATTAAGTCATGGTCCTTAGGGATACTACTGAGACGGCATTACAGTCATAACTTTGGCAAAATGTCCCTCTTTATCCCCTCCCTCAGGCTGCTCCTGAGCCTTCTGAGGTATCCTACAGAGCCTCAGGCCTCAGGCCTACAACCAGGCAGACACCTGGACAGAGTCAGCAGTGCCCACCATCAACCTGCAGCAAAGCAGCCAGAGCCCTAGCATCAGGACAACCATTCAGCTCTTCAGGGGTGGGAGATGCTTCTATGGGGCAGTGTGGAGCACGGAGAAAGACTATATAGGACACAGATGGTGGGGATAAGATCACAAAAGACAGGGGTGACCAGCTGGACAGCTGTAGAGGAAGGCCCAGGCAGCTACATCCTTAGAATAAACTTCAACACGGGGCAGAAAGAACCCTTTGCCAAGGCTGAGTCTTAAGTCGGGGTGAACGTCTTGATTAATATAGCCCAAACTCTCAAATCCATAGATGCCCTTGGTGCCCCTGTACCCATAAAAGGGTTCCTCCTCACAGTTAACCTAGATGTTGCAGGGGCCAACGCCTCTCGTCTCCCACAAGTCAGCCTAGAGGCCAGGAAAGAGATCCAAAACCAACCCAAGAAGGTGGCAGGGGATGGGCCAAGAGTCAGGTTGGCTAGGGAAGGGTTTCTCAGAGCAGGGGGTGGACAGAGCACAGCAGTAAGGACCCGGACACATATCCCTTTAACAGGCTGACGCTGAAGTCGAGGGAGGCTGTGCCTCTCCAAGGAAAGCAGTCCAGGCGTTGGCGGTTTGCTTGTGGCATGGACTGACCCCAGGGCTCCCAGGCTAGTCATGACTTATCCGTCAGTGAGGGCCCACACACACAACAGCACAGACCTGGTGTTGATGACCACCTGAGGAGGGGCAGTCGGATGGGTCTAGCCACACAGAGTCGCAGGAAGAGTTAGAAGATCAGGTATCCCTCAAACAGGTTCAGGGCTATGGATAGGCCCCTAAGTGAATATGAGCCCAAACCCAGTGCCTGGGGTACAGGTGCCATCAGCCTCGAACGTCTGAACAAGAATGGATGCCACGTGAAACAGGTCCAAAGAAGAAGGCAAGGGCAGCCCAACTCTAATGGAGGAGAGCTCTACTCACCGACCATGCTTTGACAGTGACATGGACCCCAGGCACACCCACCAGCTCCTACAGCCTGAGAGTTCCTGGGCTTCCGTATCAGCTTGGTGTGGCCACAGGGCTACTTTCTGGTTGTCTCGTGTCTTTAGGGAGAACAAATTAAGGGGTTCTTTGGCCATGGAGGATGAGGTATGCACTGGGGGAAGGTCAGGAGGCCATGGCCGTTTTCACTGCCCAGCGGAAGCTGCTAGTGGGTAGGGTGTAGAGATAACTGCTAACGGCACAGCCTAGACTCCGGTTCCCGGGTTACACCCTGCAGTCTAGGCACCATCCCCAGAACAGAGCATTTCCATCCTAAAACATACATTTCTGGGTCCCGGAAGAGCTTCTCAGGCCCAGGAACCAAAGCCTAGGAGCAGTGGCCTCCACAGTGGGAGCGTGAGCTCCAGGATCCACAGAAGAAGAAACACTTGCGAAGGCAGACCCGACTGGCAGGGGAGAGCAGCCGCTACGTCACGGGTGTAGCCGTCCTTTACCATGTGGCAGCTGACAGCGAGTGAGTGAGTACACAGCTGCTCTGGCCCAAGACCAGACTCCCAGGGAAGGGGGTCTGGTCACACCCCAGCAGCCCCAGCCAGCAGTTGTAGTGAGTCCGTGGTATTTTTCTCTAGATGACTGGGAGAAGTAACAAATGGCCAGCATGACCTGAAAGCCACAACAGGACCAGGTCCACCCCACAGACGTTCTACTCCTGCCCTTCCTCAAGAAGGTACCCAACGGCCCCCAAGAGACTGGTTCTGAGGCACAGTGTGACTGTGGTAGACTCAGGGCTGCCTGGACTTGTCTATTTCCAGGGGCAAGTTAGACAGCATGGCAGACTAGCCTCTCCCGCCAACCTGCCTCCTGTCCCCTCCATGACTGTGTGTGTTCTAAGAACACCCTCAATGACTCATGCAAGACTCTGCTTCCCAACATCGCCTGCCCACCTACAAAGCACCGAGTTGGGGTAAATCATGCATGGTGCTGCCCAGGACAGGGCAGAGCACAGGGGAGAGGCCCCAGGGTGGAGGCTTGGTAGCTGTCTCTTGACATATGGCTGCATGAGGGTGGGGATCCAGGACAAGCAGTTCACTGCCCAGCAAATGAGGGGACATAGAGACTTGAGACTACAGTATGGACAGAGACTGCCAGGAGGGCATGGTCTTGAGTGGCTCCTGACCTAGTCCAGGACAGCCAGCGCAACAGGCATGCTTTGTACAGAAGGGCGAGGGCAGAGTCAGAAGCCAACACTAGCTTAAGCAAGCTGCCCCGCTTCCCCGAACAAAGAAGAGATTCAGGATGGGAAGCCACTGACAAAAATCCAGAGAGCAGGGCTCTGGGGAGGGGTAGGGCCGAGAAGCTGAGTCCTGTGAGGTGCAGCCTGTGGTTGGCAGCCACTCCCTGTTGGCTAGTGGGTGACCTTGGACCTTGTATGACTCTCCCTGGGCCTTGCCCCTTTCCAGAAGGGCAGAGGAGTAGACACTTGGCGACTGCAGTGGTTGCCTGGGAAGACAACCAAACACATGGGTCAAGAATTTGAGGGGTGAGGGCTGGAGAGACGGCTCAGTGGTTAAGAGCACTGGCTGCTCTTCCAGAGGACCTGCGTTCGATTCCCAGCATCCACATGGTGGCTCGCAACTGTCTATGACTCCAGTTTCAGGGGACCCAACACCCATGGAAAAACACCAGTGTACATAAGATAGAAATAAATAAATAAATAAGCCGGGCGGTGGTGGCGCACGCCTTTAATCCCAGCACTCTGGAGGCAGAGGCAGGCGGATCTCTGTGAGTTCGAGGCCGGGCTGGACCGACAGCCTCCAAAACAATACAGAGAAACCCTGTCTCATAAAACCAATAAATAAATAAATAAATTTGAGGGGGTATACAGAGCTCCATCAAGGAGGGCAGGAGACCCAGGAAGTAACCAATAAAGGTAAAGGATCAGGGTCCCAGGTCTGGGACCATAGCCTAAGTAATGTAGGGGCTGGCGAAGGCAGGCAGCCCACACTCACACATTCCCCTGGCAGAGAGCTATAGGCTTCCTGCCTGCCTAGCGGCCCACAGCAGGCTACCTTAGCTGTCAAGAGAAAAGACGGACCTTTCTGAGCCGGGTGGATAAGCATCCCTGGGGCGTCAGACACACCACCTGTCGCCACACTGAAGGGTGGGCCCCCATCCCAGGCTGTGACAAGGATGGGCACAAGGGCCTACCGCTGCCACAGCTGCTGCTGCACTGAGCTAGATCAGAACAGAACGAGAAGGCCAGGCAGACTCAGCTGAACACACACAGAGACAGAAAACGTGGCCTCTGCCCTGTCGTGGGCGGCACGAAGGAGGGTATCAGTTGTACCTTGCTCGAAAGACAGAAGTTAATGACCCTGTACAAGCCTGGCGTGATAAGCAAGTGGGGGTAGGGACACAGCCCTGCTCCCTTCCTCTTCTTTCCAAGGGTTCTAATCCCACCCAAGGGGCCATCTCTATGACTGCTCACCCTAGACAGCTCGTAGCTCCGCCTTGGGTCAGCAACACCGCCCTCACCTAATCAAGGCTGCCAGGAGCCTCTTGACTGCCAGCCTCTGTCATAGGCTGCTCACCACTAACCTCACTTCTTGCAATGGGTACAAGGTACACCCCACCTGCAGCACCAAACAGCACACCACATATCCTGCTGGAACCACTAGCCACACACACACATGCACACACACACACATACACACACACACACACACGTGCTCGCACGCACATGCACACACCGACTGCACAGCAGCCTGGCAAGGGCCTCAGTTTCCCCACCCATCCCAAGGGCTCAGTCCTGAGCTCAGACTGCCCAGGGTGGTAAATGGGGCCAGGTGCCCCAGCTCTGGGCACCTGGGTCCCTCACTATATCGGCCTGGGGCCACTGGCCTTTGGCTGCCACAGGTGTTTCGGTTTCGTTTCCCCCACCCGCCCTTATTTCCCCACCTGCTGTGGCAAGGTCTGCTGCAGTGTCCACGATCTCTCTGCTCCCTCTGCACCAGAGCCCCGCGCCACAATCATTTAAATCTGCATGGCCCCTCCTTATGATGACCCAAGTCCCTTCCCCATTGAGGGCGGGAGGCGGGGCTGAGGCCAGGTTGGGCACAGGCAAGACAGGTGGAGTGAGCAGGAGAGCGCAGACTGTGGCACTGGGCAGTGCTACCTCTGAGCAGCTCCAGCTGGGAGAGGCTGCTGAGTTGCAAGGTCCCTCCCTCCTTCCCTCCCCACTACAAGTCACTGAGAAAGAATGTGGGGCAGGCACTGGGTGGGGGTGGGGAGTAACCTGCTTCAGCCCTGTGGCTTTTGAATGGAGTTTGCAAGGGAAATGAGGACCCACCAGAGAGTTTCCGTTCCCCTAACTCCTCTTTATTGCTGAGAGGGAGAGCCCCACCCTGTGTGCTGGGACCATGTGACCCCGGCTCCTCCTGCTCAGTCCCTGAGCGAGTTCTGCCGCTGTTTCTTGTCCTTGTGTGCTGGATCTTGGAGTCTTCATGGTTTCTCAGTGGGCTGCTCCGGGGTTTTGACCTTGTAGGAGCTGGGGTCTCTTGTGGTCTTTGCCAGTTTGCAACCCTGTCTGAAAGGGGTGGCCAGCCTTCACATTACCGTTCAGTTCCGCCACCTGTGCTCAAAGAAGGCACCCGGTCCATCTGGAGGACGACTCCTGGCTCCGAAGCCCATGCTAGCTCACTCTCACCTTCTGGGACAGGGGCCGGCTAGAGCTCATTCGGATGGAGGTCCAGAGGCTCAGGGTGATGACTTCAGGGGCCGCCGACTCACTAGGAGTCCAGCACAGGAACCTCTCATGGATCTTCTGGCTGGTCCTGCCTCTTGCTGCTCAGAGATCTCAGGTTGCTGAACCAAAGCCGACGCCAAGCGGCTCCCGCCCACCCACCCCAGCCCCTGACGACTTGCAATGTCCTTTCCTAACCCCAGCTCTCACCTCTGACTGGGTCATTTTTGACCAGAAATTCATCTAGGGCTGCCCAACCACCTCCAACACGAACCATCAGGGTTCCTCTTGTGGCCTGCAGAGAACAGGGGTGTCTGGCCTTCTACGTAGGGGTTGGGGGCAGTTCCTGAGGCTGTGTCCTCCCCACTGTCACGGACCCACACTCACACCTGCTCACCAAGGCTCCTTGGACCTTGGGCCTGCCTCTGGCCACTGGTGTGCTTGTCCCTTCTATGTTCCTTGTTCTGGCCGTGCTGTGTGGCTGTCTCTGGCCACCAGAGAGCCCTGGCCCCAACACGGCAGGGTGCTTGTGGTCAGGCCCACACTTCCCCCAGGAATAGCCAGGCCAGCCTTGTCCATCCCTGTCCTGCTCCTCAGCCGCCTGGAAGCTGTCCGCAAGGTCCTACTGGGGGATGTTTCAGTCTAGTCTGTGGCTTGGGGTACGAAGTATACCCTAGGCCACTTTATTCTACAGCCAAGGCAATACAGGTAGTGCCCCCACAAGACCCAAGTGTATGTTGGCTCCTTGCTGTGGGGTGAAGCCAAGTCCTTCTTGTGTGCCCGGGAGTGGACAGAGTATGTCTGTGTCTGCCCTTACCTGCTCTTGGTGGCCCTGTTCCTTCTGTACCCATGGTCCCTTTTCTCCTGGTTCCTCTTGCTATGCTCTGGCTTCCTACAACTCCGACTCTCCATGGTGACGTATCTGCCCACCAAGGCCTCCAGCTCTGTTCTTTTGAAGTCTTCCCCAGGAGGCAAGCCTTAGCTCTACTCCCAGGATCCCCAGGGGTCCCCTGGTCAAGACTCCTCAGAGCCAGTACCTGCCTTGGGGCTTGATTCCGGCACTTTAGGCTCAGGGCCCCAGGCAGCTCCTCTAACACCCAGCTCTGGGCTTGTGCCTTGTATTAGGGAGCAATGCTAGGTAGGGACTGCAGGAACCCATAACCCAAAACTTCCCACCACTCCACTGCCTCCCCTGACGCAATGCCTCCACCCCCTAGTGCCTCTCAGCAGTCCTGCCCTGCACGTCAGGCCTTCCAGCTAGCTCCTCCTAGAGATCCAATGGTCTCATAGAGGGCTCGACTCAAGGGGAGAGGGTCCAAGGCACTGAAGCCAACGTCACTGGGCTAACCCTGGATTGCTCCACAGTTACTGTGCGGGCCAAAGCCTCTGGCCACTGGTCCCACCTTGTTCCCCAAGGGTTCAGCCTGGGTCAGCCTTTGGGAGCACAGGACCAGCTTCTCGGCAAGATGGCCCACAAGCAGCAGCATCCCTTCCAGCGTGTGCATCCTGGAGAAGGGTTGGACGGATATGAGCAGGGCGGGGGGGGGGGGGGGGCAGTGCGAGTGTGGCGGGGACAGCTGGCAAGCAGGCTCACCTCTCACAGGAGGGGCTGGACAGGGCAGCCTGGCAGCCCAGCTGGTCCGTTAGCAGGCCCAAGGGGTGGGTGCTCCCACGGGCAGTGTCTCCGCCCCTCCTCAGCCACGACACCACCAGGGTTTGCTCTCCCCACAGGGACTCCTGCCGTCAGAATAGCCTTGTGGGCTGTTGGCTCTCCCAGCGGGAAAAGCTGAAGGGTGGACTCTTTTCACCTCACATCTTGAGCCCTCTTCTTCCTTACTCCATTTACCCTGAACCTCACAGCACCCACCCACCGCATTAGCAAGAGACCGCACACGCTGGCCCAGTCCTTCTGCCCCTAGGCTTCTTCACTGTGAGGAGGGCAGCCATACCCAGCACTGGGCCCGTGAAGAAAGCCAGCAAGCTCCTCCCTGTGGGCGAATTGCATTCACCTCCACCGCCATCACCACCCATTCCCATGTTAAGTCCCAGCCTTTACTTAGAAAGAGGCAGCTGTAGGGGGAGATCACAGTAGAATGTGGGCACCAATGTGAGTGCCCTTAAGAAGGGGGTGGCTTGGGGACTGGGAAGATGGCTCAGTTGGTGAGGCATTTGCTGCAAAGTATGAGGACCTGGGTTTGATTCCTAGCATCCAAACAAATCAGCATTGTGGCACGCCTGCCAGTAATCCCAATACCAGGGAGGCAGAGGTAAGATTCCTGGGACCTGATGGTCAGCCAGTCTAGACAAATAAGAACTCCAGGTTCAGGGAGAGAGACCCCGACTCATAAGATAAAGGGGGCCAGAGAGATGGCTCAGCAGTTAAGAGTCCTTGATGCTCTTGCAGAGGACCTAGTTCAGGTTCCAATACTTAGGTCAGACAACTCACAACTGCCTATAACTCTAGTTCCAGTGGATCTAGTGTCCTCTGGTCTCTGTGGACACCCACACATGCGTGCATTCATACATACACACACAAACATGTATAATTAAAAACAAAATAAATCTTCAAAAACAATAAGGTAGAGAGTGTTTGGGAAAGACACCAGATGCCAACTTCCAGCATCCACACAGGTGTGCACACATACACATACATGTAAACATGTATACACACAAAAGGGGAGCGGGATTTGTACAAAAACTACACAGAGAGCACAGGAAGAAGACACTGTGTGCATGGCAAGGAAGGAGGCAAACCAGACCTTTCCCCACAGCTCTCAGGAGCCCTCAGAACTCTGAGTTAGGATAGAACCACGGTTTCAACGTCCCCATTGGTGACAACTGATTCCAGCCACCCAGGGAACCACCAGAGTCCCCAAAATGAGAACGATCTGAGAACAAGTGAAGGAACCTGAACTTCCGGGAAGGCAGCAAACCTCAGGAAGGGTCTCGTGGATCCCAGCCATCCCTGTGTTATAGAAGAGGGGGCCAAGGGGGGCAGAGCCCACTCCCACCTCTTTGCTGCAATAAATGCTGGACCGTCCCAGACTTCTTTCTGTTTTGCCCCTGACATATTTTCTTTCCAGCTGTTGGGACTCATTCATAGCAAGTTTTGATCTTAATAAGAAAAGGCATGTAGATGTGTCAGCTCCCACCCCTCCCCACACAGCCTGGAGGCTTGACAGTGCTGGCCAGCAAAGCTGCCCTTGCCTAGCAGGCAGGGATGGTCTGATCTCAGGCCTGGCCCCACTGTGGCCTTAAATGGAGATTCAGGTCTGTCTGCCGGTAGCTGGAGCTGAGTCATCATTAGAAATCGCTCCAGCTGGCTCTGCAGCCTCCATTTCCCTTCCCTGACGCTACACTCTCCTCACTCCCAGAGTCCTCTGCCTCAGATCCTCCTGCCAGGGAACAACAGTCCAACCTCAGAGTGCCCTAGTTGTCCAGTGTCCCTGTGGTCACCTCTCCTCCCAAGGGACTCTTTTTTTTTTTTTTTTTTTTTTTTTTTTGGTTTTACAAGACAGGGTTTCTTTGTGGCTTTGGAGGCTGTCCTGGAACTCGCTCTGTAGACCAGGCTGGTCTCGAACTCACAGAGATCCGCCTGCCTCTGCCTCCCGAGTGCTGGGATTAAAGGCGTGCGCCACCAACGCCCGGTCTCCCAAGGGACTCTTGGTGACACCTTCCTCCCCCTAGTTTTTCAAGGCACCTGCAAGGCTGAGCTCCAGTCATGGTCAGGCCTCAGCTCCTCAGTGACTGCCTGCTCCATGAGGCCACACAAGATCTGCACAGCTGGCTCCCATATGGCCTTCGGCCCAGTGTCTTGCTCTTGAGTCTCTAACCAGTGCCCTTCCAGGGGCTTCGTGTCTGCCTGAAGCACAGCTAGGGAGAAACATGGTCACCTGAGAGGCCAGCCTTAGCAAGACCCTCACACTCACCCCATCTTGGTTTCTTGAGCACAGGCCTGATCCTGCCCCCAGGCCTGGCAGTGGCTTCCCAAAGACTCCCAGGTACCCCCAAGGCCCTGGTGTACCTGACGAGGGGTTCTGGTCCCAGATGGTCACTGCGGATGCCGCTGCATGACTAGAAGTCTCTGCCCACTGTGCCAGCTGTTCAAGACGCTCTGCTAGCTGGGCCAGCTGGACACTCAGCTGCGGGAGGAAACCGGCATTGTTCTAGACAGCCCCAAACAGGGATATAGAGTACACACTCCCAGGCATCCTAGCTCCTTGGTACAGTGGGCTGCAGTCTCCTCAGAGGGCATGAGGTAGGTTGGAGGTCTTTCTTCTGTGAAAAGTTAAGGGGGTACAAACACCTGCTTCTGATCCTTGAGCACTGGATGTGCTGAGGCAGACCCCTCCAATTCAAGCTGGGCCTCCAGGCCTGCTGGTGGTGAGGACTTGGAGGACACTGTTCTTTGAGCAGACAGCAGCTTCTGCTGGGCACGGGCGACTTGTGACTCCGTCAACCTCACACGCTCCTGGAAGTGATCCAGCTGCAGCCGTACCAGCTGAGCTTGGTCATCTGCAGCCAGAGGCAAGAGGCCAGGGAGGAAACACTGACACTGAAGGGGAACTGGGGGACCAGTAGCAGGGATGAGGGCATTAGAAGGGTCCTTGGGAGCCATCAACGAGGACAAAGACATTGAGGCCTTGGATTCAGGGATGTGGGAAACGGAACAGATGTCTGCCCAGGGTTGAGAGTAGTAGGCTCTTCGGAGGGCTCCATGACCACATCTTGGCTGGGTTGTCTGGGCTGAGGTCCACTTACTTGTGAGGAGCTCTGCCAGCCTCCAGCCGGTCTCCAAAACCCTTTCCAGGTCCTTGGCACGTGCCACAACCCCTTCGCACACCTCCTGTGAATACACAGGACACTGAGCCTGTGGCAGCCCACAGACTCTCACCCCAAGCCTGGGCCGTACCTGGAAGCCCTGCAAGGATTCCTCAGGGCACTCGGGCCCCCGCTGCAGCTCAGCCAGGAGCTGTTCACTCGGGCTCAGCTGCACTAGCAGAGCCTTGCAGGCTGCTTCAAAGCTCTGTGCTGCCGGGACAAGCTGCTCCAGGAGCCTCCACCTTGGGCAGAGATGGAGGAGCTGACGGTGGTGTCCCTCCTGCCCTGGAGCCCTCAGAGTCCCCCACCTGTGACTTCACCTGGTTTCTGCCTGTTGTACCAGGCGGAGCCACTGCGTGCACAGCTCTGCTGGACTCCCAGCCTCTTGCAATCTTGGCTCCACGTGAGGTGCACGCTCCCTCAGCAGGCGCAGGAGCAGCTACCAGGCATGAGGTCAGGGGGCTTGTGCAGGCTTCTGGGGTCCCTACCCATCTCCCATCACTTCCCCCATTTTTTTAATCACCGTCCATGGGAACATTAACAGGCATATGCATGCATCCTGCCCTTGGAGACCAGATCTATTGTATTCAAGCACATGGTAACCACCAATTATTTGCCAGTGACTTGACCCGAGGCTCGAAGGACGAAAGTGCCCCCCACCCCTGTAGCTATCTCCTGGCCCTGTACCTCTTGTTCCCGCAGCTGGGAGGCAGCCAAAGTGGCATCTGCAGCCAGGGGTCCCTGTGAGGCCTGCAGGTCCTCCATGCCATCCATCCAGCTACACAGTGTGTCCAGAGCTGCGAGGGGTGCCTGCAGGACGGATGCGCTCACTTCGTCTGGCCTCCAGCTGGACTCCCCACGCTCTACAGCTGCCCTTCCTCACCTGGGCTGGCTGCCTTCTGTGCCCACAGGGCCCCATCTCCACAGCCTCTGTCACCACTGTTTCTGTCACCACTGTCTCTGTGACCTCTGTCACCTGAACAGCACGGGAGCCCCACCAGGCCCAGGGGACCCCCGGTGGAAGTGGACCCTGAGGAGCCGCAGATGGAGAGAGGTCCTCTCGGGTCCCGGGGCTGGTGTGGGTTCTAGGGCTGGTGTGCGAGCGGCTCCTCTTCTCCCCCAAGCAGCCGAGCCTCGAAGCGGGGTTCCCCATGGTAGGTGGTGAGCAGGTTGCAGGATTTCCAGGACAGTAAGGGCAGTCCTACAAGGGCAGGAGGACCCACGTCAGGACCAGGGGATCCACAGGCCCACCCACCCACCTCCACCCACCCACCTCCACCCTTGCACAGGCCGGTGCCGGGGACACACCCTGGGTTGGGCAGACTCCCCAGGCCTAGGGGACTGGAGGGAAGCAGCGCTCACCTCTGTGTAGCTCTGTGCGCCCTACCTTCCACCCCTGAAGCCAATGCTCCACCCGCCCCAGCCAGGCTGGCCTCAGTTCTTTTCTTCCTGTTTCCTGGGAAACCCAGTGCCCACCCTCAGTCATGTGGGAGGGGGAAGGGCTGTGAAGAGGAAGGGGCTTCTAGCTGCAGTTTCTGGCCCCTCCCCCTCAGTTCCTGTATGAGGGAGGGGAGGGGGTTCAGGGAGCTCACTTGTCACCCAAGCCTCACATGGGTCACTCACATGGCCATGGGGCTGACGTTCCCCTGGGTCAGGAGCTCAAAGGAAGAGGGCTGCTAGAAAGGGTACCAGCTGCCCTGGGGATGGCTAGGAATTATAGGAAACGGGGGCATCAACACACACTTTAGGAGGGGGTTGGAGAGGCACAGGAATTTCCCACAGCCATGCGGCCCCCAGAGAGTACTAGACGACACCCTCTCCCAGGCACATGGCTACTCCACGGGACCCAGACAACCCCCACCCAAGACTTCCTGGCACCCTAGACTGGTCGGCTCTGTTTCCAGGAACCTCACACTTGCCACACACACCCCACCTGAGCCTGGAGTGAGCTAGTCCTCCCCTAACCTGGAGTCCCCACCGGATAGAAGAACAGAGGGAGTGGATGCTCAGGGTCTCCACGGGTGCCTGGTGTATTTCATGCCATGGACTCAGGGTCTCCAGGGGTGCCTGGTGTATTTCATGCCATGGACTCAGGGTCTCCAGGGGTGCCTGGTGTATTTCATGGACCATGGACTCAGGGTCTCCACGGGTGCCTGGTGTATTTCATGCCATGGACTCAGGGTCTCCAGGGGTGCCTGGTGTATTTCATGCCATGGACTCAGGGTCTCCATGGGTGCCTGGTGTATTTCATGCCATGGACTCAGGGTCTCCAGGGGTGCCTGGTGTATTTCATGGACCATGGACTCAGGGTCTCCACGGGTGCCTGGTGTATTTCATGCCATGGACTCAGGGTCTCCAGGGGTGCCTGGTGTATTTCATGCCATGGACTCAGGGTCTCCAGGGGTGCCTGGTGTATTTCATGCCATGGACTCAGGGTCTCCAGGGGTGCCTGGTGTATTTCATGGACCATGGATTCAGGGTCTCCAGGGGTGCCTGGTGTATTTCATGCCATGGACTCAGGGTCTCCAGGGGTGCCTGGTGTATTTCATGCCATGGACTCAGGGTCTCCACGGGTGCCTGGTGTATTTCATGGACCATGGATTCAGGGTCTCCACGGTGTATTTCATGCCATGGACTCAGGGTCTCCACGGTGTATTTCATGCCATGGACTCCGGCGTGAGCCCATTTGCTCACCATCTCCCCAACCGTCATCAATTCTTCTACCAAGGAGTGGAATTTGTGCTCAACACACAAGCTAAAAGCCCTTACCTGCCCATGGTCATGTTGGTCCCAGGCCCTGCCTCTCTGCTGACAGAGGTGACCTGGGAATTCCTGCTGCATCCACCCACCCCGGGCCTGTGACCACCCCCGCCCCCACCCCACCCTGAGACCTGCCTCTGCTTGGGTTCATCTTTGTCATAAGTTTGTGTTGCTGTTACCTTGGGAACTTTCCATGGAAAATGTTGGGTGAGGTGGGCAGGCTGGCAGGCTAGGGCAGGCCGTAGACGCACTGTGGGTGGATGGCTGGTGGACGCCTCTCCCAGGAGGGCTTGCCTCACACCCTAGGACGGCCCACCCTGCCCTGCTGCTCTCCTTTCTCAGCCCCCACCCCAGGCCAGGCACCAAGTGCGTTCCTGGGGGAAGCTTCAGTGGGCTGGAAGGGTGTGTCCCGGCACGAGTCTGCCCACACCTGGCATGCAGACTTCACTCCCTCCTGACCGCCCTGCCTCTTTAAGGGACCATGGGGTTATTAGGAACAGCTGCCCCATCCGGTCTCTGGGCCTTACCCCAGATAGGGTTCACAGTCTGGAACGACCCTCTCCCCTTCTCCGCACTCATCCTTGGGCCTCCATAGCTAAGAGGAGTTAGGGTGACCCCTGCCTCTGATACCTGGCCTCTGGCTTGTTCTGCTGCCCAAAGCAGAAGAACTGGGTCAATCTGTGTACGAGCCTCCCTGTAGCTGTCTATGGCCGGGACAGTAGAGGCCCAAGCGTTGGAGGTGCTGACACCTACTTGATGTAGCCTCCGCCTATCTCACGAGGTCAGGGTCCTATGCTGAGCACCAACGGTGGGCAACCTCCTCAGCAGGTCCCTCCGGCCACGCCACCCCTACTCTGAGTCAAAGGCCTCCCTCCAAAGATCCTGGCAGCTTAGTGGCCACACGACCTCCTTTGTACATGAAGTTCCTGAATTATAACAGCAGGTGAGTGGATGACCGGGAAGAGTAGTGCTGACCAAGCTGCCCACACTCCTGAGTGTCTAAGCAAGGATGGCTGGCTCACAAAAGCCCACAGCTGTGTGACTTGGAGCCTCTCCCTGGCACTGCCTCTGGGGCCCCACACAGGCCCCCCCTCCCCTTGTACATTCGCAATGGATCATAGTACCCCACCCAGGCCCCCCTAAATAGTGCCCCCTGCCCTGCTAGTTCCAGCCCTTAGGGGACCGCGGCCCTGTCACTAAGGCAAGCAGCCGCAAGCACAGGGACACACAAAAGGCCTCACTGCATGCTGAAGCTGGGGTCAGGTTCAGATAGATCCAGACTGCAGCGAGGAACCCAGGCTGCGCAGGTCTGCAACACAGCCCTGGCTGGTTCTGGTCAGACCGAGTCCTGCGAGTGGACACTCGTGGCTCTTCTAAGCTGGCTTCCATACACTGATGGGACCATGGATTCAGCGAATAATGGCGACGTGCTTGGGGAGAGGTGTCGGGGTCTCTGCTGGGCAAGAAGGCTGAGGCAGCCAGGGGAGTTGAGCCTAGGGCTGGCCCAGGGACGGATGGCACAGGGGCCGTCCTGCGCAAGGCTTTGCTCTCAGGTAACTGAGCACCTGGAGGAGCGGCATGGGGAGAGCCCTAGCAGATCTGACTCAGAGGCCCCTCTTGACAAGGATGGACACGGACATGGGTGGCATGGCTTTGCAGGGTACAGAGCTTTCAAGGAGAGAAAGTACAACAAGAGAGTGTGGGGGTTCCAATGAGAATGGTCCCATAGGCTCATATATTTGAACACTCAGTCACCAGGTAACGGAACTGTGTAAAAGGATTAGAAGGATTAGAAGGTGTGGCCTTGTTGGAGGAAGTGTGTCACTGTGACTGCCCAGGCCATCTTTCTCTTGGTCTGTGTGGATCAGGATGTAGCAGGATGTAGCTCTTAGCCACTGTTCCAGCACAGTAAGTGCCACCACGCTCCCCGACATGATGATAATGGCCTAAGCCTCTACAGCTGTAAGCAAGCCCCCAATTAAGTGCTTTCTTTTGTAAGAGATGCCTTGGCCATGGTGTGTCTTCACAGCAATAGAAAAGTGACTAAGAGCAAAGTTTCTATATTTATCAGTGCTAGAAAAGTCTGGGCTGCTTGGGGGAATTGAATCCCAGGGGTTTACGTCCAGTCTGGGCAGCAGAGGCTCCTTAGCTCTTCAAGTTGGGGACAAATGGCTGGCCACATGGTAAGTCTTAAGTGCTGTGGTCCCATGAGGGGTAGGCAGGACATAGGCTTTGACTGGTCATAGAAACAAGAAGGCTGTAAAATGAAAAAGAAAAAGCAAAAAGAAATGGGCAGCTCAGAATATTCAGTCCCAAGGGGAAGGGAGGCATGAGTTCCCAGGAGCCATAGACCAGCCTTCAGTCTGGTGAGCTAGAAACTGAGTGGTCCCCACGACCAGGCTGACCAGGAGGCTGGATACCCATCACCTTTACCCAGAAGTTCTAGAAAAAATCTCATGCTCTCTCAGCGGTTTTGGCTGGGGCACCTGCTGTTACAGGTTGAACTCTGTCCTAAAAGCTATCCATGACCAACTCCTAATCCAAACCTGGGAGTGTGACCTTATTTGGAAATGGGGTTTTTGCATGTGTCATCAAGTAGAAGTCATTAGAATGGGCTGCCATCCAATATGAATGTGACCTTGTGACAGAATGCTGTGCCAACATGAGACACAGTGGTACGAAATGGTTCCGTGAAGAAGCGGAGACGGGAGGGCCAGCAGCCCTCAGCAAGGTGCCTCAGGTTTGGGAGTGACTGCCAGAGTCGGGGTGGGAAGAGCTCAACCTTAAGTTCAGGGGATCACACACTGACAGGTGGCATCCCGATGACTTAGCCCAAGTCAGGCCATACTTGGGGCTGGTGTGACACCACTCCTACCTCATACAGCTCACCTGCAGGGAGAGTGGAGAGGGCCCCAGAAAAAGCCAAGTAAAGACGGTGCTCAGGGACACAGACACCTGGCCCTTGAGGGCTCAAGGACCAGCACACGAGCTTCCAACAATGAGGAGTTCGAACACAGAAGGAGGGTGTGCTAGCAACACCTGGACCATCTGCAGCTCTGTGACTGCAACATGTCTCTGTAGCTCCATTTCCATCCCACCCCACCCCTGCACGCACTTACAAGTCAGTTTTACTTTTCTAGAAGTCATGGTAGCCACGGTTCAGGAGAATCATTAGTTAGATCTGAGGGTACTGCATGAACTCCGGGACACCACTGCAGTGCGCCCCCCGTGGGGGGCGTTGTGCTCACCGTCTCCTGGTACACCTGCCCCCGTAACACCCTCAGCCCTGGAGATTTGCTTGGCAGGTGGATACAGATGTAACAAAGTGTGTGAAAGTTTAAGTCCCTGGGGGAGACTAGAGTTTAGGACAGAGTGCTTTCAAACAAGCACAAGGTCTTGAGTCCAATCCCAGTA